TTTTGGTAAATGACTTTAGATATGTAATCAGCGACCCAGAAAACCCACAGATACCCAGTTTCATAGAAATCTACCGATTTTTTTTAGTTTTCGTCCGCCATATTGGATCAGCCATTTTGAATTTTTGATAAGTGACTTCAGATTCGTAATCAGCGACTCAAAAATCCCCTAGGTAAGAAGTGGTGTAATGATCCATCAACGAGTATTTTGTTTTGTGTATTTGTTTAAATAATTTCGTCCAGCTAGATTTGCGATTCGAACCACTGTGCGACCCTTTTCCAGTAGCCCCAAAATCTCTATACCAATTTCCAGGACACTACCGCAAATACTTCCAGAGATATAGGGCATGAAAAATTCGATATGTATGCGTGATGTCACGCTCCCTTAATATATCGAGAGTCTGCAGTAGGTGTCCAAAATTTAAAAAAATCAGTACAGGCGTTCGCGAGATCACCTCTTATAAAAAGAACGAGCATATCTTTATATAATTAGTGTAGGTAACACAGAGCAACACCGATTTTGATGCGGCAAATGTTGAAGCATGTTTTTGATAAACTTTTTTTTGCTGGTTATGAATCCGTAAGTATAAAGTTTTCATCAGCTCCAGGTTTGAGAAAATTCTGGTGAAAGTGTCAAAAATCGCGCTTTTTGAAATATTTGAGAAGTTTTAGTAATGAAACAAACGGTGATAGAACCTTCCACTTATGCTTAAAGTAAAGCTAGAACTACAGACTACTATCCCTGAATGTACTATTCCTGCACCTTGCCCTGATGGTCACCTATACTCATTTACTTTTTACCGTCCAACAATAAAAAAAAATACTGGCAAATTATGCAATTGAAAAAAGGTGTAAAAATCAGTGTTAGCTATTCAATAAATGACTATAGGTGACCTTAGGGTCAAGGTGTAAGAATGGTATTTTCAGGGATTGAAGTCAGAAGTCCAAGGCTTAATTTAAGCCTAAGTGGAAGGTTCTATCACCCTTTGCTTAATTGCGGTAGGTACTCAAACTTCCCAAAATCAGTTATTCCTATTCAACAAATGACTATAAGTGACCATCAAGCAAGGCTGCAGGAATTTGCAAGGATAGTATTCGAGAGTTCTAGCTTTAATTTAAGTCTAAGTGAAAGGTTCTATTGCTTTTTTTGTTTCTTTGCTAGAGCTTCTCAAATATTGAAATAACGCGATTTTTTGACACTTTGACCTCGTTTTTCTTAAAATATGGAGCCGATGGAAACCTTATGCTTACGGATTCGTAATCAGCATACAAAAATTCGGCAAAAATAGTGTTAACATTCGTTGCATCAAATTTTTTCCCATTTTTGTTGGCCTGTGTAATAAGTATTGTTAAATAGCCAATACCCGCATGTTTGCGCCGACTTCAAATACCCTTCGAACTGTAAACCAATGACTCGATTCTATTCTACCATAAATAAGATTTTTTTGAATAGACCGGTATCTGGTCCACCTATCACAAAAAATATCCTATATGTTAACCCAGCCAAAAAGCTACCTGCGTGCCAAATTTCAAGCAAATCAGACCATAAATACGACTTTTTCGAATAGATCGGGCCCTGGCCCACTTAACGGAAAAATAGATCCTATATCCTAATCTAGGCAAAAGGCTACCAATGTACCAAATACATTTTTTTAACGTAGCTCGACCCCTCCGCCACCTATCGGAAAAATTTAAACTCTGTGCACTCCTTCTTCTAAACACCTTTCCAAAAAAGCAGCACCCATTCGAATTGGTTATGAAACATAGGAGAAAATTGTTCCCAATTGATTCATGCTCCCAATGAATCTCACAATTATCCGAAATTTTCCACGCTTTCGTCGAAAACTATTAAAATTTTTCGCGTTCTTCCGGATTTTCCGAGCTTTCCACTTAGAATTTTCTATTTTTCCATTCGAATGCCATTCCGATGGAATTCCACTCAAAATTCCATTAAAAAAAAAATCAATTTTCGATTTCTCCAATTTTCCGACTTTCTCGGTGGGTTTTCCCCAAATTTTCTTTCGTAAAAACCTTCTCCTGGCAATTACGAATAACAAAAAAAAATTTTAGCCAAATCGGCCCAACCGTTCTCAATTTATGAATTACTATACATCTTTCACACCATTTTTATATATATAGATATACGTATTTAATACATACATTCTTGCCACTGCTAATCACATGAATAACAAGTAAGAAAGTCTAAGTTCGGGCGGAGCCGAACATTAAATACCCGGCGCAAGTATTAAATATATGTTTTCCACCTTTCCGAAAGCTACCGCTGCATGATAAGCCGGCGTGTATAAATTTTAAGTAAACTAGCGTCCTTAAATTTCAAAATATTGAAA